AATCGACCGGATCTTCCCTTTGTGAAAGCTCCATTGAAATTACAGCAGTTAGGGAGATAAATTCTGTCATAAAATGCTCATCAGCCAGTCAAAATCCGAAGCACGCAGGTTGCTTTCGTTAACCAGGCCATTTTTTCGACGCACTTCAAACATGGTGGGACTTCGCTAAGATGAAAGTTCACCTCGACTTCGGAACGATGTTTAAACTTTGATCGGGAAATAGCCTTATGAGCCAAAATCCAAGATAAATATTTCAGAAGATAAAAGAGGAAGGAAAAAAAAGCCTCTTTCTAATTCAATGCTGCAGAGCGTTCTAGAAACTGAGAGCTGAAACGGCGTGACACCCGCTGCCCCGCTGACACGCATATGTACTGCGAGCTAAAGCAATTGATTTTAAGTAAAACAATGGCCCAGATTGGGGATAAGAAAATAACTGTAGTCGATCAAATTATTGACCCCATAAACATCTCTATGAACTGATTCTTTTAACAAATTATCGGAAAAATACCCTGCTTATCGGAGATCTATTCAGACGACAACAATGGCCTAAATTATTTTAATCGAAGGGATTAGAATTTCCTACTTTGGCACGTGTAAACATTGCTGCAACAGATTTCCTGAGAAGGTGAAGTGACTTCTTTTGGTAATAATTTTCATACAGTGCTCTACATTGAACTGTGCAGTTCAATCCGTTGAGAACAGCAATCAAGAGTAAATGCATCTTTGTAACACAGAGTATCACTTTCAGGCCCTCTTCAGACAAAGTTTTTGACTGTTGCTTTTCTCCACCTCAGGGTCCCTCTCAGGAGTGTTTTTATAAGCATGAAATGAACGCAAGCACGGATAGTCTTCTTTGAGCTAGAACAGGAGCTAGACGAAATTTTGACTTTTAGCATGTAATGATTTGATAGCATGAAAAGCTTGCCTTTTTGAATTCGTGTTTACCAAAGGGTTATCAAAGGGTTTTAGACGCATGTTTGCGCCAAATGGGAGAACCGTCGTAACAGAAAATTCGTCATGATAGTAGTTGTTATCATTGACATCAAGGAATATAACACGTACGCTTTTAGATGAAAAACGTGGGGAAAAACTATCTTTTTGCTGAAGCTAAAGGAGTTTGTATAAAAGCTCATAAAGAAACATAAGCACAAGCGTACCTTTCAACAAGACTCGAGGTGTGAGATATAACCAAGGCAATGAAGATGACTGTAGTCTTCATGTTTCTCTCGCTGTACGCGCCTGACGTGCTTGCAGACGTAACACGAAATGACAAGGAGGAGATTTTCGTCGTTGATATGGAGAGGACGTCTGTTGCGTAAAAATTGTAAGTTAAGCTTTCACACCCACGAGCTTCCGTCCAAAACGAGAGAAACGTATAAAGAGAATGTTCGACTTCTTCCCTGACGTTTAACTACGTAATTCAATAACCAACTTATCGCGCAAACAATTAAAATCTGTTTGTAATTTAACCCAACAATAGTGATAATCGTTAAAAAAATAAATACATTGCTGTCTCGTGCCGATGGTATTTTTAATTCGACGACAAAGAAAACGCAGGAAAACGTGAAGGGATTTGCCCGATTTTTGGAGCAAGTGAGATCAGTTTCTGATGAAAATGTTTGATACTACAACGTACGTGTTTTGTAACGACCAATAACGCGATCCGGATGATCACGTCCGGTGTCGCGCAATTACCGTTTTAGCGCTTTACAGCCATCTCTTATATGTGCTCCCTCTCCTTCAAAACACATGAACAGTGCTAAAAGTCCTAAAACAGGAGGTGGGGGAGGACTGCACTTCAATGGACTGTGCTTCAACGGACTTGTACGACGTGCAGTTTCTTAAAGCAGTGTATCTTTTGATTTGTTTCTTCTAGTTCTTTGATATCATTGGACTCTCACACGACTTTCGTAGTTAAATGTTCTGACAAACCGCAAATGAAAATTGATCTGTTTGTTTCAGCCTTGTACGACTTCCCTCTCACGTCAACCATTTGGTTAGTTAGGGAGGGACAGTTTTCTCATACAAGTAACAAAGTTTACAATATATCATAAACTATTTTCCAGAAAATATTTTCTGTCGCACGCTATCGCCACAATTGTGACCCTAAATTGTCTGCAACTGGAATTACTGCTGTCGACAAAATAAGAACTTCTGCGGGATTGCGCTTCGTTCCGGAAGAAACGTGTATTCCCGTGAACGAGATTAAGGCCGGAAGTGACGATTGGCCCGATCATCCTAGGTCGCGCACGGCCTACGAACCCGGCCGGGAGGGGAACTCTCATGTAAAAAGTGCGGGAGTGCTCGTCGTACCGATAGGGTTTAAAAAGGCTGATTTAGTACCTCTTTATGTAATATATCAAACACGAAAGATCGTGTTTGACCACATTTCCAAACACCGAGAAGAGAGTTGAAAATACGATGCGCAGCGAGCATTTTTGACGAACTTCGAGGTGTTTGGAAATGTGGTCAGATACTGGCCTTTGTGTTTGATATATCTTCTCAATCGAAACCAACACTAAGGAGAAAACGGAGAAATAAAATCGTAAACATCTATGCTAATTAGGATCAGACAAAAATTGAACAGTCTATCCGTTCTCCCAGACTTGGAAATTAATGGCACACAATTAAACAGAGTCAATTTTACCAAATCTCTTGGTGTATTAATTGATGAAAATTAAACATGGAGTAATCATATCAACGCTATATCTAAAAAAATCTCTTCTGGTATTGGATCTATTAAACGAATAAGTCAGTGTGTTCCTCCTGTAACTCTACATAATATCTATCACGGGTTAGTTCAATCGCACTTCAATTATTGTAGTGTTGTTTGGGGTAACTGTGCCAAAACATTATCTGGCAAATTACAGAGACTTCAAAATCGTGCTGTCCGCGTCCTTACTCATTCTAGTTATGATGCTGACGCCAACCAACTATTTAAAGAATTAGGCTGGGACAATTTAGAAACTCGAC